AACCAAAACACATCTTCGTAACATTTAGATCCATGCCTAAACATACAGGGTGCTTACAAACACTCGATATGACTTGTATACGTCTATTGTGTGTACGGTTCACAAAGTTTTTGGCACAACCTGGCATGCTCTTTCACTGACGATTTCAAAGCGTGCCATACAACGTTTGCTCAAACGATGTCAGGGTTGCAACATTCAATGCACCAGTAGTGAGTGAGTGAGTGAGTGAGTTTAGTTTTACACCGCACTCAGCAATATTCCAGCTCTATGGCGGCGGTCTGTAAATAATCGAGTCTGGACCAGATAATCCAAGGATCAACACCATGAACATCGATCTACGCGATTGGGATACGATGACATGTGTCAACCCAGTCAGTGACAAGCATGGGTTGCTGAAGATCAATTGTAACCAATGCACCAGAAACGCCTTTAGAAGGATTTATGGTAAACATGCTACGTACATTTACATATTTGACGCATTATGACACAAATCTTGTCAAATGCAGTGTTGCTTGGTACAATATTTTCGTGAATATTTTTTCAAATGAGTAATTAAATTGCCTTTGCGTATGCCTGTACGGATGCAAGAGGCGAGGCAAAAATACGCTCACATTTTTGCGACCAGCAGTTTAATACCACTTCTGATGGTGATTAATAAATACAATCTCATGATATAGTCGACATCGTACAGTCAACGGCGCTTTCGCAGCGATTTCTTATGAATACGAAACAGATTTCTTTTGCATCTATTTATCTATGAGTAACCGGCCACCTTTTTTTACCTTTGGAAACAGCCCTGTGATGAAGATTTCACGACTGAACGTAACGAATGACACGTACGCATTTTGTCATTTTGTTCAGTTAAGTACCCTACCCTACCTTACCCTACATAACTACCCACCCACCCTACCCAACAACTTACCCTACCTACCTACATACACAACTGCCCACCCAACCAGCTACTCTCCTATCTTAACACATACACTCCCACCTTCCTGGCTACCTACCTATTTGCCTTCCTACTTACCTAACCTTCCTCCCTACCTGCCTACCCATCCACCTAGCCACCAATCTATCCAGATACCCCACTTAAGTACCTTCCTACCAACCTACCTATCCACCGATATATCCACCTACCCAACTTACCTTTCTCCCTACCTACCTAACTACAAATCGACCTACCCACCTACCTATCCACCGATATACCCACCTACCCAACTTACCTATCTCCCTACCTACTAACTACAAATCGACCTACCCACCTACCTATCCACCGATATACCCACCTACCCAACTTACCTATCTCCCTACCTACCTAACTACAAATCGACCTATCCACCGATATATCCACATACCCAACTTACCTATCTCCCTACCTACCTCACTACAAATCGACCTACCCAACTTCTTACCTACATACCCAAATACCCACCTATCCAACTACCAAATGGAAATGTGCGGATCGATATGGATATTGCGGTCGACCATGCAAGTTGTATTGTTGGTGTATCGGGTGTATCGATTGTACAAGCTTCCTTGCATAATATAGTTCTCAGTATTGCGGTCGACCATGCGAGTTGTATTGTTGGTGCATCGGGTGTATCGATTGTACAAGCTTCCTTGCTTAATATAGATCTCAGTAACTGTGCATAGTGCTCGTATTACGTAGAGCTATTATTGTGTCTGACGCCTCAGACCAACGTCTCAGATGAACGTTCAAGGTGAGTGTAAATTGTTATCAAACCGTCTTTAAGTGGTATTTAGAAGCTGGTATGATGAAGAGTAACACTTTTTATGGATAGACAACTTCTTTGTTGCAGTAGTTGCGACGTTTCGGTGTAGATCCTAACAAATGATTTGCTTGATAACGGTGTTAGGATCTACGCCAAAACGTCACAACTACTGCAACAAAGAAGTCTATCCATAAAAAGTGTTACTCTTCATCATTCAGCTTCTAAATGCCACTAAAAGGCGTTCCTCTCTTATGAAGCCGGTATTTCTAAAACAATGTCCTGAAAACATTGTGCTATATCACCGCATCACACACTGTATCGATATGAGGAATGCAGCCGAGTTTCTAATATTGTTGCTCCACGATTTGGGGCTAATATCTGGTCTCCTGGACATTATTCAATCATTGATATGTGTCAAAAGTAGACATTTCATTGTGTACTACTAGAGAATTATTTAATTGGAGCCTCCAGTTGATCCACGACTCTGTTATAAAGACGTAGACGCTGACAATAGTGTTAGTGGAATTATATTAAGGTGGCGATTGAGTGTAACTAGACGCAGTTTAACAAATGTTTGACTGCATCTGTTAACACAAAACATAGACATATGCTTTCGAAGCAATGACTGTGAGCTTAATCAGACAGTCGCCCATCTCAGTGCTAGTCTTGATCACGTTTCATGTTTAAAATACATCATCATATGTTTTACTCATGTGAAGTTTTAACGTGAATGATTGTGACAGGTAATTGTTGAGTAGGGCAGTGGTGTTAATACTTTGGTTCATCAGGTGACAGGTACTTGTTGAGTAGGGGCAGTGGTGTTAATACTTTGTTCATCAGGTGACAGGTAATTGTTGAGTAGGGGTAGTGGTGTTAATACTTTAGTTCATCAGGTGACAGGTACTTGTTGAGTAGGGGTAGTGGTGTTACTTAGTTCATCAGGTGACGAAGGTACTTGTTGAGAGGGGGTAGTGGTGTTAATACTTTCGATTAGGGGACAGGTACTTGTTGAGTAGGGGGCAGTGGTGTTAATACTTTAGTTCATCAGGTGACAGGTACTTGTTGAGTAGGGGTAGTGGTGTTAATACTTTAGTTCATCAGGATAGGTACTTGTTGAGTAGTAGTGGTGTTAATACTTTTAGTTCATTAGGGGACAGGTACTTGTTGGAGTAGGGGCACTGGTGTTAATACTTTAGTTGTTGGTGACAGGTAGGGGGGGTAGTGGTGTTAATACTTTAGTTCATCAGGTGACAGGTAATTGTTGAGTAGGGGGTAGTGGTGTTAATACTTTCAGTTCATCAGGTGACAGGTGGGGTAGTAGGTGTTGATACTTTGTAGTTCATTGAGTAGGGGGTAGTGGTGTTAATACTTTAGTTCATCAGGGACAGGTACTTGTTGAGTAGTGGTGGTGTTACATTGTTGAGTAGGGGTAGTGGTGTTAATACTTTAGTTCATCAGGTGACAGGTACTTGTTGAGTAGGGGTAGTAGTGGTGTTAATGGTGTTACTTTAGTTCATCAGGTGACAGGTAATTGTTGAGTAGGGGTAGTGGTGTTAATACTTTAGTTCATCAGGTGACAGGTACTTGTTGAGTAGGGGTAGTGGTGTTAATACTTTAGTTCATCAGGTGACAGGTACTTGTTGAGTAGGGGTAGTGGTGTTTATACTTTAGTTCATCAGGTGACAGGCACTTGTTGAGTAGGGGTAGTGGTGTTAATACTTTGGTTCATCAGGTGACAGGTACTTGTTGAGTAGGGGGTAGTGGTGTTAATACTTTAGTTCATCAGGTGACAGGTACCTTGTTGAGTAGGGGTAGTGGTGTTAATACTTTTAGTTCATCGCTGTGGTCTGTGTGAGACTGTGGTTAATGATGACGACATCCCTTTACAAGAGCCATTTCGCTAACAATCGACATCAAAGCCACCCTGGTCAACATATCACTCAAAAGAAGATAAGAAAACCCGGAAGACTGCCAGGAGGATAAAATCAAAGAGCTGACCAAAAGGTTTCAGCCTTGCGGAACGCTGGAGGGAGGGGCTTTATTCGTTCATCTGAAAGGTCTGTCACCCGATGATCACTGTCTCTGCTATCTTTAACGAATATGTCGATGATACGTTAACAAAACTGATAGAAGACGGAGTTCTGTTTGTAGACACATACAAGGAAGAATCTGGTTGAGTGAACACACGAAGAGGAAAAGGATACCAAGAGTATCTACCACTTATTGTTAAGTCATCCCTTTCTTTGACTACAGCAGATTTCCAAAACCAAGGTGACTTCCGTGACGAAACTTAACCTGTCCAACAACCTCCCTCATCAAGTTCAAAAGGAAATTGTTGTTCAACGAGCAGCAAATAAAATGAAAAGGCCCAAGAATAAAGAGGCCCTAGACAATTTCATCCAGGAAGGCAGGGATATCATCGAATTTAAAGCATTTGACAAGACATCATTTTGATGGAAAAAATACACAATCAAATGTTCAAAAAAGAAATTACTGAAATACATTTGGAAGGGATCTCAGACTGAGGAGAATACATTTCCATATTTCACAAAAACTAAGATGGTGGTTCCACTATTACCTAGGAATAGAGGCGAAGATTTAAAAACATTACTGGTTATGATTACAAGACAAGAGTCAAGATCCCTTTCTGGGATTCGTGTTGAGGCCAGTTTGAGACTGTAAAAGTGGTTTGACAGAGTTGATCAGGCAACACACATTAGTTCAAAGAGATGCAGCCCAACCATATGGTGCAGACTCGCTGGTGAGGGAATTCAAAGTTTCATGAAGTGGGCAGAGGGCCAAGTGTACATCCTTGAAGTTGCAGTTGGGTACACGCCTGGATGCGTCTTCTATGATACGCCGAAGTATACACCATGGTTGGGGGTAATCAAGTAAAGCGGTAGACTTCTCCGAGTGGCTTGAAAAGTGGGGGGAATCTTTCTCAAGAAAAAGCTGCAGTGAGGGACCAATGATTGGACTCATAATTCGGAATATATACAACCACCATAGCTGTTCCAACTGACAATCAAGCTGTATACCTTACCAGGCCAATGCTAACGTGTGTTTTCTGCACTGCCCAATGGGTACCTGTAAAGAATTGATGTATTTACCATGATAACTGAGGATTTGGGACTAAATAATATATCTTTTATTTTCAGAGGGAACAACATACAGATATTGTGTCTCATATACTTGCTTCTGATGAAGAACTGGAAGACGTTTCCTAGATGTAACTGTCCTGAAATACAACACATCGTCAGAGCCAATATGAAAATGAATGACATCAAGAGCTCCAACCAGACCATGGCAGAAGAGATGGACAAACTGTCATTTGGCTTTTCCACAATTCTGAGGGGTAACTATGTAATGAGAGGTAACTATGTAATGGAATTACTAACTGGTTTGTAAACTAATCTACATTGGGTATTCTTACAAGCGGGAGAGCAAGAAATCAGAGAGTTGGAAATGTATATCACACTTGTGTATTATATCAAATTTGCTTTGATATTCCTGACAGCTCAAAGAAAACGCATACCCACGAAGGACCGCATTCCTTGAGCGTGCAGATGAATTGAGGAGACGACAACAGTGGTAAGAACAAAACCAATTCATTATTTTTTGACTCCACTGTAAATTGATAATAAAATATATATACTAATACTCTAAAGGCTCTCAAAACATTGTAAGGGAAGGGCTTTTTTGTGATTCATGGGCAATCTCATGCTACACAGAACAATCCGACAAATAGAGATCTAATGCTGGGTCAGGAGAAATGTACAATAGCCAAATCCATGTTGCAAATAGTGACCGTATTGCTGAAACTAAATGTGGAAGAATGATTGTACATATTCTCGAAAGTATTTGGGACCAGTGGAATAAATACCATATGGGTTCATAAAAATAAAATGATTTAAAATAAAAGTTCACTGAGAAAAGTGAAATGTGGACTTCTCATGGACAACACAGTGAGACACATTCAGTGAGAGGACATGATGATCCAGAGTAAACGTCACCATGTGTTCCACCTTTTCTATTTTCTTTACCGAGTCATCAGGTTTGAACAAAGTGAATCTGAACAGGAGGATTTTGCAAAGATGTCCGACTTAAGAGTCTGGTCCCGATTTCTCGAAACAAACTATATCTATATTTTTCCTAAGTTAGAATTTTTATATATTCTCGAAAGTATTTAGGACCAGTGGAATAAATACCATATGGGTTCATAAAATAAAAGGATTTAAAATAAAAGTTCACCGAGAAAAGTGATAATTTAGCTGTTTCAAACTGTCAAACTCAGTTAGAAATTTGAGTAAGAACTTTTGTTTCGAAAATGTGGGCCTGGTATATGGAAGATATCATTCCATAATGGACAAATAGCCAGTTCCTTCCACTCATATATAACATTAGCTAAATATCAGCAAGACAGTGAAACAGCCTTGTCCATTTCAAAAGCATTTGGATCTATACATCAGGATTCTTATTCTTGACATGGAAAAACTGTATGACAAAGTAATGGTTCAGCCTTTCCTTCCTGTTTGCTGTCTGTCGCTGTGTGTGATGTTGCAACATACCTTTTCCCACCTAGTATCATCGCAAAGCATGATACAGGAAATGTGAACGATGCAGCTGATGTCATTTCATGTTTTTGATTTTCCATGCTGCATTTGTACTTACAAGTATTGTGATCTTTTATGATTCACTTACTTTCAGAACTCAGTTTCTCTGGAGAAACATCTACTTATGAAAGTGCTGATGACATGAGCCGTTCTAGAAATGAGGATGGGTACTGGTCGGGAGGTGACTGAATCTGATGATGACGACATGGAGGCAATACAATCAAGTGATGATGCAAGGGAAGCAGGTGAAATACAGCTGCAAGATAAGTCAAGAGATGACAGTCTACGTGGTAGGACTATTTCCGAATACGCTTTGTCTAATGCTGCCTTACATTATGTTTGTGGCAATGTTATTATATTGTCATCTTTGTAAATTCTCCACCTTGACTCTGTGCACTTTTGACTCAGTATTCACTTGATGAAGGAGAAAAGAATTATCTCTGAAACATCCTATGAAGAACAAAAAGAGAAGTTGTTATCCAGACAAATGTCATGTATTCATTGCTCATCTGATCTAACAGGAATTTCTAAAACGTTCAGACGTTTTTTCAGCTCTTAATGTTCAAATGCCAAACCGTCAATCTTGCACAAAATATTTTAGTTAAAATACCACTATGATGAATATTTATGACTGCATATTCCAATTTCAGACTGCGCTGAGCAAACCATCAAACAATGTATTTCAGGAACGGCATCTTCACCGTTGCTGCCTCATGTGACAAAATGCCTTAAGGAACATTCTTGTACAAACGATCATTGGTCAGCCTGGTGATGGCAAAACTTCTCTTGCTTTCCAGGTTTTGTCTGAAATGCACAGAAAGAAATGGAAAGTTTATGTTGTGGAAACACCACAGGATTATTTTCGGATCCAAAAGAGTGACAGGTATATCATTCTTTTCAGCAACATTTTGGCAATCCCAACTTTCAGTTTGACCACTACCGAAAATGGCATCCTGTCCTGCTAGACGTAAGTCAGGAACAAGTAGCGTCGGCTTCAAGATGTCAAGTGGTATATACAATATTCCTGTTCAGGAAAATGTGTTTCAAACAGCACTCAAATATATCACTCCTTTCAAAATACATTTTTTTTTCTGAACATCAAAGAATTGACTTTGAAAAGATTTATAAAGCAGAAGAAAATAACACTGGATACTGACAGGACAGCTGATAAAACATCAAATGATCATGTCACTGATTGTTCAAAGACAACATCACCCTGCTACACAAGTTGTGTATGATGATAACACTAAGACATGAAGTTTTAACACTCAGGCCATGGACAGGGAAAGTAGGTTTCGACAAATCCTCAAGAACTTGATGGTCAATGAAGGGATTCTGTCTTCTTTACAAATCTGTATCCATCAGGACTGCATCCCACATCCAGCTGAACTCTCAAATGTGGAACTAGGAAGACTGTGCACAGCGGCCGGGGCATCTCCTTTGAGAAGTAAGCAGCTCTCTGAGGCACTTACACAGATGGACAGCTACATCCTTAAGAAGTCAGCTCATGGATTCGTGTTCTCACACGCATGGACTTCAGAGGTAGTTGCGAAGGTTTTGGCTGAACTTGATGAAACTACATTTATAGTTCATTGCAGTCTCAAGTATTTAGAGCACGTCCGCTTGGAGCCAAATGAAGTTGCAGACTTTGATTATGCCATTATCGTCCACCAAAGTCAGCAACGGTTCTTGCACAACGTCTGTGTGAAGAACTGTTGAAAGGTCATCTTCAGTTTGTCATGTCTCACATGTCACTGACACACCAGTCGTATGCGACGCAATTCAAACACTGCTTCAAAGAGAGAATTTCAAAATGAGAGATGCACACTCAAAGAAACAAATACTGTCCTTCATTCCTATTTGCAACATACCCTCCTTAGAACTGAAATTGTTGGAAGTAGCTTCAGGAGGTATTTCCACAATGCAATGCCTTCGTATGTGTAGCAGATATGGTAATGTAAGACTCATGAGACTGCTTATCGAGAAGATCGAGAAAAATGCTCCCATGCTGCAGCAAAAAGAGATACAACGTAGGAGAATTATTTAGAACCTGTGCTAAGTGGAATCATGCAGAAGGATGTCAGGTTTTGTTGAAGTATGTGGATGTCAACTCCACCAGTAAACGGGGCAACACAGCCCTTCACTACGCAGCCAGCTCGGATAACCTGGAACTGTTATCTCTCCTCTTGAATCAGGATGAAATTGATGTTGATGTTCTGAATAAGAAAGGGGAGACCGCGTTGGCAATGGCTTTGTATTGTAAGCATGAACAGGTGGCAGAAACTTTGATAAAAAGCTGGAGCCAATACACTACTCAAAGATAAGTATGGTCGGACAAGCTTTCTGATAGCAGCACTTGTTGGGTCTGTGTCTATTCTAGAATTGTCACTGAAAACAGATCATAGATGCATTAATCACTGTGATGCCTTTGGAAACACGGCCTTGCATCTGGCAGCAATAAAGGGCCAGACAGAGGTGATCAAACTTCTCTTAAAAGAAGGTTTAGACATTCAGAAAGGAAACATGGACAGGATGACGCCTCTCCATATTGCAGCTACAAATGGACGATACTCTGTTGTGGATCCCCTTCTCAGCATAGAAAGAAATTCAGCTACTTCTAGACAAGACGGAAAGCGTTTTGTCCGAGGTGTGTCTGTGGATCTTAAAGATATTCATGGCATGGCACCGATTCACTACGCAGCCATGTGGGGTTATGAATATGTATTAGGAAGACTTTTGCAAAACAAGAGCGAGGTTAACCTGATGACCGAGAAATCTGAAACTGCGCTGCACTTAGCAACTCAGGGCAGCCACATTGAAACTGTACAATCCTTCTCAGAAACAAGGCTGATCCGAACTTGTCTGATGGGACGGGAAGAACTCCTCTTCACATTGCTGCCGAGGAAGGACATCTAAAAATAGTAAAACTCTTTCTCAGGGGAGAAGGTAGACACTCAGAAGGTAGATGAAGACAACAAAACAGCTCGTGAGTTAGCTTTTGAAAATAAACATCGAAGCATTGTGAAGGAGATTTCCAAAGTTCGAAAGAAAAGAACTGAAGGAACAGAACTCTCTCAATACATGTTGGAGAGCAGGCATGACCGGCACCCTTCGAGGGTTAAAGGGGAGAGTACAGTAAACTTGGTACCATTTGTGATCGCTATCATTATTGTGGTTTTGATGTTTGGTATTCTACACTATCATAACGTAGATCTCCGGTGACTGATCTGGTCACACAGTCGACAAAAACATCCTCTTAAAGGTTACAAGAATCAATTTGGAGTGGTTTAAAGAACCTATCATTTTGGGAAGTTCAGACAATTGTTCCTTATACTTAATTTTATGTACCTGTCATTGGACATATTTGAAGTTAGCAACCCGGAACTGATTAAGAGAATGTGTTTGTAGATTAGCAGTGATCTAGTTATAGAAATTTCGCAGCTATCTTGCATGTCACAACCCATAGAGTCACTGGACGGATAATCGAGACTGGTTGTGTTCTTGTGGTGGCTTTACCTAGTACCTCCCTTGTGTTGGGGCCCTTACTTGTGTCATATGTTCCTGTGTTTCATCAGATTGGGTGCCGCCAGTCGGACAGCATACTCTCACGTTTTCAAGATAATGTGGCATAATAATGTGCTGATACTTATTCATAAATGCATGCTTATGACATACATGTAGTCAATGGACTTTCTTGTGATTAGGGAAAGTTTTTTGTAACTTTTATGCTTATACAAACGATACTTTTGCTTTGATTATGTGATGATTGGAAAGGGTTTTCACGCTTTTAGTTTAGGATTTTAACAGTTTTCATCGCTTTAAAGAATATAGAAATATTTTTATTGCTTCTATTTCTATGGGGTCACCAGGATATGTTAATGCATTGTGTGATGCCATGCATTCTGACACAAAGTTGACATGTAGTCAGTGGACTTTCTTGTGATTAGGGAAAGGTTTTTGTAACTTTTATGATTATACTATGAAATGTTATTACGTTGTGTGACGCCAAGTATTCTGACAGTAAGTTGACATGTCACTGATAATGTTACTACATTGTGTGATACCATGTATTCTGTCAGTAAGTTGACATGTCACCGATAATGTTACTACACTGTGTGATACCATGTATTATGGCAGTAAGTTGACATGTCACCGATAATGTTACTACATAGTGTGACGCAATGTTTTATGGCAGTAAGTTGACATGTCACCGATAATGTTACTACATTGTGTGATACCATGTATTCTCAAAGTAAGTTCACATCTATGAAATCAAATCATATCAGTCTTACATGACCATCCTAGATACATTGAACACATTGGCACGTTGAACTGACCACTTCTACTGCTCACAGGACATATATCAGCTGTGAACACTGATGCCATGCTGTTCTGCTGACAACATTAAAAGAACAAATGATAATGAAATACAAGCACCATGGACTTATGTACTTTATTCATAATAAATGTTGGTTCATGAGACTTGATGTCCATTCAAAACATGGTCAGAAAGGCATATGAAATATAATATACAATTTCTGTGGTAATTTCTGTAGTACTCCTGAAGTTTAGCTTTGACATCAAATGACGCATTATTGTATCACCTGAGAAGGTAAACAATGTATGATTATAGCAAATAAAAAATTAAGGTCCCTTTGAGTTTATTTTAAATGTTATTTACTGTAGCATTTAAAGGACCTCAGTTTTATCATAAAAGTATAGTTTGTATCAAACAAGAGTCATCAGAAGATGACATATCCCCAGCCCCACATCTTTGAAAGAATAAATCATCTGACAGTTACTTAAAGTCCAGCTTGATTTTACACTAAGTGCAAATCGTTTCCATGGAAATGATGAAAACATAAATGACAAACGTCTGCAAACAGCAAAAGGCACCACTTCAAGATCTGCATCACATAGCTGCCAAGTTTTACTGAAAGATATTAAGAAGTTTTTGAAACAGAAACCCACCTCTCCTTTTGAGACTAAGTCTAAATGGAAACCATGGAAACCTAGAAAATAAAAAGACAAAATCTGTAAAAATAGCAAAAGGCACCACTTTGGGATCTGCCTCACATATCAGCCAAATTTTGCTGAAAGATATTGAGAAGCTTTTGAGTTGTGCTCTGGAAACAGAAACCTACCCCTCCCTTTTGAGACTAAGTCCGAATCGTTTCCATGGAAACCGGGAAAAATAAAAATGCCAAAATCTGGAAATAACAAAGGCACCACTGAAGGTTCTGTTTGTTATATCTACCAAGTTCTGTTGGTAAATATTGAACGGTTCTTGAGTTATGCTCTGGAAACAGAAGCCCACCCTCCCTTTTGAGACTAAGTCCGAATCGTTTCCATGGAAACCGAGAAAATAATAATCACAAAAAGTCTGCAAATAGCAAAAGGCACCACTTTGGGATCTGCCTCACATATCAGTCAAGTTTTGCTGAAAGATATTGAGAAGTTTTCGAGTTGTGCTCTGGAAACGAAGCCCACCCCTCCCTTTTGAGACTAAGTTCAATTTGTTTCCATGGAAACCGGGAAAAATAAAAATGCCAAAAATCTGCAAATAACAAAAGGCACCACTGAAGGTTCTGTTTGTTATATCTACCAAGTTCTGTTGGTAAATATTGAACGGTTATTGAGTTATGCTCTGGAAACGAAGCCCACCCCTCCCTTTTGAGACTAAGTCCGAATCGTTTCCATGGAAACCGAGAAAATAATAATCACAAAAGTCTGCAAATAGCAAAAGGCACCACTTTGGGATCTGCCTCACATATCGGTCAAGTTTTGCTGAAAGATATTAAGAAGTTTTCGAGTTGTGCTCTGGAAACGAAGCCCACCCCTCCCTTTTGAGACTAAGTTCAATTTGTTTCCATGGAAACCAGGAAAAATAAAATGCCAAAATCTGCAAATAGCAAAGGCACCATTTAAGGTTCTGTTTGATATATTTACCAAGTCTTGTTGAAAATATTGAACGGTTTTGAGTTATGCTCCGGAAATGAAGCCCATCCCTCTTTAAAGACTAAGTCCAAAACGTTTCCATGGAAACCGAGAAAATAAAAATAACAATAATCTGTAAATAGCAAAGGCACCACCTTAGGTTATATTGGACATATCTACAAATTTTTGTTGAAAATATCGAACGGTCTTTGAGTTATGCTCCTGAAACGAAAAGATTACGGACGGACGAGGCGACGACTATATCCCCTGCATTGCATGCTGTGGGGATAAAAAGTACTCCACTGTATTTGCCACAAGATGTCTCAAGACATAATTCTATCCGATTCCATAGATCTAGTTGTATGTCTTCAACCATTCAGTGTGATAAAATTCAACAACCTTGGTAGTCCCGAGCCATGGCTGGATCCAACAGATACAGGGTCTTGACTGTCGGACCTCATCGTGGCTCTTGAAGTTACCACGGTTATGGGGATACACATGATACCAGTGAAAGTCACAATCAGAGATGCTAACCCCAAAATGTTACAAAAAGTAGTAGCAAGGATCAAAATTAGTAGTTTGACCATAAAATTAGTATTTAACTGTGCTTAAAATCATGATGGATTCTGAGAAAGATAATATGACATTAATCAAGAGGGAAACTTTAATTTCACATACATTTGTAACTTCAACAGCAGATTTCCAAATTATCAGCATTACATTTCTTCTTGTGATCTCTTTTTAGCGAAAATGTATTTAATAGACAAAATATACTGAGTCAAAAAAGAAACTTCACAAAATGTAATTTGAAAAATAATGAATAATTTTTCTCTGATGATACATCTATGTATCCGAAATGGGATCCCTATCTTTCGACTCTAGAAAAACGTTAGCAAAACCCACTCAAACCCATCCATTCGTCGTGCAAATGACGTTGAGTGCCAAATCAGGTTTTGCACGTGCAGTCGATCACGTGATCTTCGCATCGAAGTTTTCTTCATATGCACGTGTTTGCATTGGCCTCAAGAATTGAAAAAACCCTTTTAAACCACAGTTCTAACAGTACTTGAACTGCCAAGATTGTCAAATGTGCAACGTGAACGTGCCGTTGGCATATTGCAAGCGGGAAGATCAGTTATTGACGTCGCAAGAGCAATGCGATGCTGCCGTCGTACTGTGTATGACTTGCGAGGTCGTCTACAACAAACTGGCACTGCTTCTGATTGCCCAAGGTCGGGCCGTCCACGTGTGACGTCACGAGCAGAAGACCATCAAATCGTCCTACGTCACCTACGTGACAGATTTCTGCCGGCTACACGAACCAGAGCTGAGATGTTTAGAGGTCGACTGTACTCACAGACCATTGGAAATCGGTTGCGGGCTGCCAATCTCCATTCTCGACGTCCATATCGTGGGCCAATATTGACGCCGTTTCATCAACGTCAACGTTTGCTGTGGGCCCAACGTCACCTCCGATTGACCCAGAGACTGGAATCGAGTCTACACTCAGATTCGCGGACGGCAGGCATAGAGTCTGGAGACGATGTCGTGAACGGTATGCCCAATGTTGTGTACAGGAAGTCGACAGATTCAGGGGCGGAAGTTGCATGGTGTGGGGGGCTTTCTGTGGGAACAACTGTCCCTGACTTCTGGTCATCCGTGGAAACCTCACAGCTGCTGCTTAACGCGACCAGGTGCTCACCCCTGAACTCGTTCCTGTCATGGTGGCTCATGGCCCAGGTCTACACTTCCAGCATGATAATGCTCGGCCGCATACCGCGATGTTGACACGAAATTTCCTTAAAAACGCTGGAATCAACGTCATGGACTGGCCATCGAGGTCCCCTGACCTTAATCCAATAGAGCACGTTTGGGATGCACTTGGGAGAAGGCTTCGTGGTCTTAGGAACCAACCTCAGAATGTGCAGGAACTTGGCGCTGCCTTGCAAGAGCAGTGGCGCAGAATCCCCAACCACGTGTTCACAAGCATCAGGCAGTCGATGAGGAGACGGTGTTTGGCAGTGGTGAATGCGCGGGGTGACCATACACGATATTAAACTGAGAAATTTCGCATTTTTATTCTTGTGACTTGACATTCTATATACCCATGTTTTGGAACGGCGGTGTAGCCTAATGGAACTGATTATGGCACTGTCAGTGTATCGAGTACATCACACAGATCTCAGCAATGAAATAATAACAATTCAAACATCTTACCATCTCTTGTTCTTTTATAGTGCCCTGAAGAAAGAATGTGAAGTTTCTCTTTTGACTAAGTATATATGTTTTTGTCTATATATCCGACTTTCAATCAGTTTTCTTCAAATTTCATAGAATTTCAAGTGCAGTCATATTGGCGTAGTTTGAGGCTAAAATTCGTAACGACTACGATAAAATTGTAGAGGTTGGCATCTCTGCGCAAAATATACACTCTCACACACATCATACACACAGACACAAAACACAATGCACACCAACTCTCTCCATGTTCTTTCCTAAGGCTATGACCTTGTAACGCAACTCGCATTTAATCTTTATAACAGTAAATATAAACATAATTTACACCAAAATATATGCTTGTATTGGATGAAACTAAAACATACAACACAGTTTCTAAGTATCACAGTAAGATATAAATATTTTATCTCCATATCAGGGTTTTCAATATAAGCAAGTGGATGAAGAGTTAAGTTTAATTGGGGAGAAAACTATAACAAGTGGCCTTTCAAATCTGAGGCAAAATGAAAAAGAAAGAATTACTGTTAGTCAAGGTTTTGTTTGGTCTGTCTTCATTAGACCAAAACCAAATTCATCAATCGTATACAGATCTTTACTCCCAAATACTGACTGCAGCTTGGAAACGTTTTCTAAAGACATGTCACAAATAAATCAGATGCTAGAAATATTACTGCATCCTGTCTTTTCCATAGTGTGTCATTTACTCTGTTATGCCTTCTACTGCAGTATGCCTATTCATGTAGTATACCTTTTCCTGCAGTATGTGTGCCTATTATTGTAGTATGCCAATTCCTGTAGTATGCCTATTCCAGTAATATGCCTATTCCTGCAGAATGTCAATTCCTGTAATATGCCTATTCCTGCAGTATGCCTATTCCTGCAGTATATATGCCTATTCCTGCAGTATATATGCCTATTCCTGCAGTATGTATGCCTATTCCTGCAGTATATATGCCTATTCCTGCAGTATGTATGCCTATTCCTGTAGTATGTCTATTCATGCGGTATGTGTGCCTATTATTGTAGTATGTCTATTCCTGTAGTATGCTTATTCCTGAAGTATGCGACCGCCACGTG